TGTATAAGAGACAGAGCGAAGGCGGCGGTGGTCGGAGAGGAGGCGCCGAGGGGAGGGAAGGGAAGAAGGGGAGGTAGCCGGGGGGAGAAGTCTCCCACCTCCTCCTTCCCCTCGCCGGCACCGCCTCCTCGGCGCTCCCCAGTGCCGGGGTGCCCGGGGCCACCCGGCAAAAGCGGGTGGCCCGGGGTGCGTGGTTTGCTGTCGTGAGCCCGGCTGGAGGACGGGGGGACCCCGGCTGCCGAGGGGGGCCCGGCAGCGGGCGGGGGTGCAGGAGGCTGGCGGCCTTATGGTTAACACGCGTCTGTTCTTCTGTGCGCGGAGCCGGCAGCCTCCCGGGCTCCCGCAGGACCTTATCTGACATCGGGGGGTTTTTCCCCTCGCCCCAGCCCACCAGTGATGTACAGAGGGGGGGCGTTCAGCCCGGTTTGCCGGTGCACTTTTCCTCCCAAAACTCTGCCGCTGAGGCTGTAACCGAAATAAAAGGCGGTTCGTGATTTTGTGCGCAATGATGTTCCGTTAGAAGATGTCACTTAGGCATCCAGCATCTTCAGAATATCCCGGTAGGGTTTTTGGTTGGTTGGTTTGTTTTTGTCTGAGATTCGGAGCTCTGGGGGGAAAACTGCCGAAAAAGAGTGAGCTTTTTAAACTTCACGCAGTGTTTGTCATGTGAAATCTTCAGATGTTGAGAAATAATTCTGAGTAACCAAATGGGCTCATTTTAAATGGGCATCTTTTTGTCTCAAAGACGTCTGCAAATCTCCATTGAGAACACCCCTGGATGAGGTATGTACCAAGCCTTTGGTAGGAGAGAGCTCGTTACTGTGATTTCAGTTTGATTAAGTAAAATGGTGTCAGAAGATGAAGTCCATAATTTACCTTCTTTCTCTAAAATTATCATCAGTGTTATTTTCCGTATGGCAGCAAATGATCATATTAACAGTTTCAGCACATGTTTTCTTCTTCCATATATAACATAGAGCCAGATAACAAAATACTCCTTCTTGAGTATCTGCAAGTTTGGGATTTTTTTCCAAAAGAAACAGTGTGGCTTTTTTAACCTGTTAAAAGTGTAGTAATGTTTGGTTTTTTTTGTTTTTTGTTTTTTTTTTTTTTTTCCCCCTTAGATGTATCATCTTGTTTTCATTGTTATTGTTCACCTTTTCTTAAAGGAATATAGCATTCTCTGCTGGGGGTGGCATTGCTGTTCACATGTACCAAGATCATGCAAAGGCTTAGAGTGTTATTTAATGTGATATTTAATAACAAAATGTGCAACATTGCAAAAATTACTTGGGTGTACTTAATTCTTTTTTGGATTACACCTCATATCAACTGCCACACTGGTTTTCCCTTCTCAAGAAAGGGGAAAAACCTTGTGACTATTGTAGGAATATTTATTATGAAGGCAGTTTATTAAATCAGCCATAAAAGAAATGAACGTAACATCTTTAAACAGTTTAGAAGATGAATGTCTAATTCCTGATTTGCTTGAGGTTAAAATTAGTTTTGTAGCAACCAGGAACAGCTTTGCTTTATTATCTGTTGGTCTTTGGAATGAGAGGCAGAGCCATTTGAATAAAAACATTTTAAAGCAGAATTGATAAAAGCGGTAACTGTTTCACTGAGCCAGCAGGCATCTATTGCCAGGGGGGAAAAAAAGTTGGCTAGGTAAAGAAATTGACTATTTGCTGTGAATTTATGTCGACCATTCGATAACACCTAAACCCACCGTAATCAAAGCAAAATACCTTTAAAACTCAAGGTGAAGATGGAAGCAGGTTATAGTATCGTGAGGACGAGCCGGTGGGTGTCTTTGATCCTGGCTGTTGTTCTTTGGTGAATTATGTTAGCTCAGTTGCATAAAGGACCCCATTAAGGGCTTTTATGCTCTGCTGAAGGAATGACAGGCCTTAGCCAATGCAAGTCTTTCTTTCCCTTTCTCTGGTCACAGCTTTCTGATTGGGCAACCAAAGTTTAGACATGAAGTAACTTTTTTATTTTAAGTAATTTCTGACTTTCAGCCTTTAATGTGGCTGTCCCAGAATGCTTGCAGGCTGTCATCCCGCTGGGAATTTTCGTGATGAAAATGTTACGCGCTAGAGAGGGAGAGCTGGGATGGCTTTCCTTTCTATTGAGTAGAGGAAGGTGAGGAGATTGAGGCAAGGAAGAACCCAAACCCATATGTTCACTTAGTATTGCCCCTTAATTTTACAAATACATTGCCATTCCTGGTTCTGCAGGTCTCGTGTACTGTCTTCCACTCGCCTAGTTTCTCTACTTCTGCACGTCTTAAGAGAAATTACTGTAGTTTATCCGATGCAAACTTTGTGACCTCTCTCTAGTCACGCTGTCGGCTACCTAGACATTCGCAGAATTCATTTTTCTCAACAGTAGTTGCTCTTCATTTCTTTGCAGATGTCTATATTGGCTTTATCCGAGTCTCCTGAAACAGTAAATGATTTTAGATATGTTTTGCTGCAATTTCCCAAATAGTTTAGGCTATGTAAAATGATGAATGCTCTACAAAACCATTCATTGACCATTTAAGTAAGAAATTGGAGAGTTTTCTCTTCTCTAGCAGCAAATTCACACCGTTTGCTGATGATTTAAAATATGTACTGTGGGCGACCCTAACACTGGGGTTTGGCCAAGTTCAAAGCAGCTGTACAGATGGACGCAGAAGACAGAAGGCAGAGGGAAATAGACCCTTTTAATCATAACAAGGCTGCTCTTGTTTTCCTGTCTATAGTGCAAATGCATGCCAGCCCCTCATACTTAAAAGCAAGCTTGCAAACGTGCCCGGATAGACAGCAACAACATTTGTTATAAATGCAAAGTTAAAAATGTGATAACCTGTCTTCTCAGTACTGCTCTTTACATCTCCATTTCTAAACTGACATGTACTGTTGCAAAAAGCGCACATCCGATCGTTGTCAGTAGGATAAGAATTTCCCTGCTAGAACTCAGGCTCTTTGAGAGTGTGTGGCTTCGTTAATGATTGCTGAAACCAGCCACGACCTGTCCTTTTGAAATGGTTATAATGACTTATAAATCAATTTCTTGTTAGAAAGAACTTTTTTTTTTTTTTCTTTTTCCCGAAGGTGCTATTGTTGCCCATGAAAAATGATTGGGTTTGCAACATAAGGTTGGAGCACATTTTATTCTGCCATTTGTGCCTCATGCAGGGGCATTATGGTGATGCACACACCAAGCCCGGTTCTGCCTCTCTTCAGTAGGAACATCTTTTTTTTCTGATCAAGCTACCCACACCCAAATTACAGATAAAATAGGTATTTCACTACTTTCTGTGTTAGTATGATGTCACTCCTTATACTTTGTCTGGACTTGGTGAAATTGGATGTTTTATACATTTCAGATGTTGTCTTGTTTGTGTAGATCAAGGCTAGATGGCCTCAAATAGTACCTCATCCTGTATTAAGCTGTTTTATGGCAGTTGTATATTCTTAAGAAAGGCGTGCTTACTCACTACAAGGTACTGAGCAGAAGCAGTTCCATAGGGAATACTGTCAGTTCCCTTTCAGCCTTCACTGGAGTAATTTTTATATTTCTGCATTTTAGGAAATCTTTTAAAGTTTGTGCTTAGGGGCTTAGGGGGCTCCCACCTTCCTGTTGTGGTGAATATGTGAAACATGCTCTTAGAAAGCACTGATTTTAGTCAGTTCTGCCTCTGTTTTAAACAATGCAGTACTGGAGTCCAGACCATGTATGTGCCTGGAAAATCAGGTGGCATAGGTTTGGAGTGTACCTGTACATATCTATCTAGGTACCTGTACGTGTGTATATATGCAAAATAATTTTTACACGATCTCAGTGACAGATGTACTCAGTTTAGAATCTTGCTTTTCCCCAGGAAGGCTGTGTATAAGGGAATTCAAAATCAGTCATCTTGCCTATATTTTTTTGTACCTACACTTCTAGCTTGTCTGCTTGTCCTCTGGCACTGGGAATTTGAGTTTACACATGACAAACACTACTGCAACGTTTGTGAGACTTTAGTTGTTCCTCTAGGCATGTGTATATGTTTGTGTATGTCTATCTGTAAGTTTATGCATAGTAATATATATATAGATATGCACACACACACAAATAAAAGTCATAACTCATCCCTCGGTATCTTTTAACTATTTCTCCAAATCTGATGTAATATTGGCTGGATTCTCTCCACAATTCGTTGTTCTGGCTACTTGGATATCATATTCTACTGTAATTCTTTCTCACTTCTCCTCTTCTCTCCCTCTCTCCTTTTTTTAAAAAAGAAAAGCATCTGCATATTTCGAAGACATGCACCATTGCCAAGCAATCTGGTGTAGTGGCTTAATATGCTGGCAAATAATTTCACAAGTTGTTTGTGTGTGTGAAGGCAGTATATTTGAATATCATTATATTCTGAATGTAGCAATGAAGAGAGTTATCTGAGCTTATTTAAATATTATGAAAGGCCAGACAGCTCCAGAAATGAAAGAATGTTTTACATTTTTTAATTGGAGTGCATATTTTCGTCCTTCACTGATGCTGATGGCGTGGGACATCGCATTTACCAAAACCCTTCCTGTCCTAGCTTCTGAGCACTGCCAACACAATTTTCGGGAGAAGTAGACTCCAGAGAACTGAGATAGAAGGGATGTTGCTTTTCAATGTGTGCTGACCCTTCTGTGCACTAACTTTCTGTCATTGCCTGTAAACACCTCTTCCCTTTTCCCCTTTTGGTGTGTTTTATCTGCTGTATGGGTCACTCAGTGGCTCCATTTGAGCACTCTCTCTTCCTTTCCACCTCTGAGGTCCATATGCTGTACTTCATTTTCCTGGGCAGTTTGATTTTTATTAATGTCTCTGGCCAGATTTGCTCAGCTGATCTCTCCTGAGCATCCCCAGGTCAGCCCCATGTGTCAGTGCATACAGTGCTGTCCTTTTCTTTGACCTTACCAAGGATGGCTTCTCAGAGCCCTTTGCATCTTCCTTTGCTGTTTGAATACAGATCAGAAATGGACTTTCAAAAGAGCAAGTCATTGCCTGCAGAGCAGTGGGTCTGTTCTTTCTTTATGGTGAGATCTGAAAATCCCACTAGCTATATCCTTCATCTTACGGAGATATCTCTGAAGTTTGCATAGCTCAGAAGAGGAGGGAGGTTTTCTCTCGTGAGTTTTCTCCCTCACCTGATCTGCTTTCCCCAAGCTGATCACAAAGGCAATTCTTCTGTTCCCCTAAATTCTGCATCCCTGCCTCCCAGAGGCTCCTTCCACTTGGATCTTCCTTTCTTACTTTCCCCTGCTTTACTCCTATCTCACTTGGAGATGTCCTGTTCCCTGTAGTTCTCTCTCCTCCCAATCCCCTTCACACCAATCACTTAACCTGCATTACCTTTGCTCCCAGCATTTCCTTGCTATCTCACAAAGTCTTTGATTAAAATTTGTTACGGCCACGGTTTGTTGCAGGGGGAGTAGGAGGCAGACATGCACTCTGTGCAGTTTATGAGAGTTCTCCCTGGAGCCTGACGTTTTTGCTACCTTTCTGTCTCTAATCCTTACTCTTTCAATAAAGTTCACTAATATTTTCTTCTGCAACAAATTCTTGACCTTTTTTGTTCTGCTTTGGCCTTTACATGGAAGCTGTTGTCTTTCCCCCCACCCCTTAATAAATGTGTTTTCCCCCCAGTTTCATCCTCTAGATGTTACATTCTTCTTGGGGACCTTTAGCATTTAGTATCCGGTGGAGCCTGGGTCTTTTATGTCCTGCTCTGCTCTTTCAAAAGTCTTCTCTCCCTTCAACTACACACGTTGTGTGCTAAGCTGCTGTCTCTTCTAGGTACTTCCAGGAGACTGAGTGTTCAGCCCCCATCTCTTTTGCACCTGGCTGGGCTTCTCTCTCTCCATTTAACATTTATGTCAATTCTGCTCAGCAGTAATAAGCGCTTGCACCTTTTGGCATTACAGAATGGCTAGAAAAGAGGCTGGAAATGAAGCAATTTCTGTTGGAATGTTGAAATCCAAAATAAACCCTTTTGCAAAAAAAGTTTGACAGTTCAAAATTGACCAGCTTAATGAGTTCTCTTCCATTTTCTTTAAGATTTAAATACCATAGCATTGTATCAGACTTTTCGTATTACCTGTTCACTCTGCTTTACTGGGAAATTGGTCCCTAAACTGGAGCTGGTTTTAAGCAAATACCAGGTCACTCTTGCTTCACTGTTTCCCAGTCATCTGAGCTTTTCACACTTCAGCAAGCCTCTTCATCCTCTCCCAAATTCTGTCTTTAGATGAAATTAAGACATATGAAGTAAACTGTGAAAAATCTTAAAATCCCGTATTGTTTTAAGAGAGCTACCTCTGTCTTCCTTCCTTTCTCCAAAAATCTGGGCAGACGTGTAGCTGTAGCTTCCCATTAATGTGACCCTGACGGCCCTTGCTGGTTTGTGATTTCAGTCCTTCATCTTGTCTCTGACTTAGTAGGAAATGTGTGTGTAGGGTGTTGTATTTCATAAGCTGAGGGGTTTTGAATAAACTCTGGAGCTTTGGGGTTTTTTTCACAAGCAGATGTGGCAGCTGTCCTTGCTCTTCCCCCTGTGGCTGGATTGGATGTAGGAGACACATCCTTAGTTTGCTTAATTCAGAGAAGGGGCTTCAGGCTAAGCCTCTCACTTACCAGGATGTACCCTGCCTGCTGGAATGTCAGTGCCTTTATTTCTGGATGTTTAACTCTTGATCCAATGTGGAACAACTCAATCAGTTCAGAGACGGGCTGCAGAACGGAGAGGCTGCCAGCACGCTCATCTGGCTCGCAGGAGAGCAAAGTTCAGGTCCTTCACCTGCACCAAACCAAGCAGGACTTCAACCTCACTTTTGAGCCTCTCTGATCTTAGCCACCCATGTAAGCCCTGGCTGTTTGGGAGGCAAGGCACAGCCTTTTTCTCTGTGCCTGCAAGTTCCTTGTGCTAAAACTGATACATGCACCTCACCAACAAAACTTTGGAGGGAGGAAATAATGTATTTCTTTTAAAAACATTGTTGCTCACTAATTAATGCTATTTTCCCCAATTGTTTTGTTTCTGTCATTCAGATTGTCAGCTGCTGGATGCTGGGGGGTGTCACGTAGGGGCAGTTTGCCCCCAAATTAGAACAATCCAGCCCCTATCCTGCTAGTGTGCAAACGGTATGTTAATTAACCATGTAGCTGTGGTTTCTTGCTAATTAAGGTTCAACTTGCCAAAGATGTCATTACATTACGTAAGAACAGAATTTGGTTCAGTGCTTGCATGCCCTAGTTTACCCCATAGCCGATAGTGCCTCGCTCTAACTAGAAGACAGCATCCCTCATTTGCTCCTCTCCTAGTGTCTGTTCTTCCCAATCCCTCACGCAGAGAAAATTCCTATGGAAGTTAATTCAAGTTTTCCCGAATTAGGAGTGACAGCATATTTGCCATTTATATCCTAGGAGTAGCACAGTGTTGGAGATGGAGTAGTAAAACAGTAAATAGGATAGGGGTAACATTGCTTTCATTTTCTTGTCAACATGTGTTTTATCCTTGCTTGGTGTTACTGAGTCTTAGAGTGCCATTTCTCAGATGCGCATTTCTTTCTCCACGGGTTAGAAACCTTGTTCTGTACTCGAAGCAGTATTGTTCGTCGCCGTATGGGATAAGGTAATTATTAGCCATATAAATTTTCATTTTATAGGACAGTTCTAAATCCTGGAGGCCAGCAGTGACTATGGTAGATCTCATTTCTCTCACACTTTTTCTGCTGATTACACATAAATTACAGCTGTTTGTCCTATGGTAGTACTTTTGGACCCAGTGTACTAGGCACTATGCAAACTTAACAGAAGATAAAGCCCTTCTCCAGTGGACTTACAAAGCTTATAACATATAACCAAGGAGAATGCATTTGCACATTTTTGTGCATTCAAAAAGTATGTTTCAATTATACCTACTTTAACCTATTCTCAACTGGCTGTGGGTATCAGAAGAAATGCATAGACATGGAGATCAAAATATTTTTTAAAATAAAAGCTAGAAGTGTTTGACTGTGGAATTCCCTTTCTTGATTTAATTCATTTTCTTGCCACGTCAACATTTTTGCAGTTATCAGTAGCATCATTGTATTGCTCATAATTACTTTCCAAGGAAGAACGCAAATATTCACTGTTTCTATTCAGGCTGTTAAAATAGCTCTATCAGTCATCCTGATTTGAAAATTGTAATAAATTCAACCCTTTTTTCAGATGTTAAAAACTTTTCAGCCTGCCCTCCCCCAGAGAACAGCAGAAGAAGATAGGTAATAGCATTTTAATGAAGTCATGTTCTTCCCTGAGTGAACTGGTCCTGTGGACCAACAAGAAGACCAGGGGAGGTCTAATTCTCCCTGTTGCCCAAGATGAGTTGTCAGTCTTTTACATATGGTATATTTTATATTTTACCTAAGGGGTCTTTATATTCTGATAGCATCCAAGCTTCTCTGAAGGCTGTATGTAACCACACAGTGGAGGGCAGTAGTAAGACTTGTCCCTCCACTCTTCACTAATTCTTTCGCATGAGGGCAAAGCCTCACTAAGTTGTGTCTTCAACCTTCAGCTGATGTTTAACACCTCATGTGTCTGAACCTAGGTAAAGCAGACTGGAAAGAAGGGCTAGAAGAAGTTAAATCCAGGTCTCTGCAGAGAGATACGTGGTGTTTGTAAAAGCCACTCCATCTAGTGGCAGTCACTTTGCACAGCTGGTCTGGGAGTGCCCATCAACGGCCCCCAGTTGGTGGGAGAAAAGTCTAAAATGGCATTCAGCTATAGGTTTTTTGGGTTTTGTCTTCAAGATAAAAGATTCTTGACATTTTTATCTATTGTTTAACCCTTAGCCGTAATCATAATTCATTACTTACTGTGAACTGCTGCATGCAGTCAGTATCAAAAATTTTGAGGGCTGGCATCAGTGTGGGCTCTTCCTCATCTTTAGTCAATGTTTCATTTCTTTTTAAGCTGTTTTAAAATTAGTGAGGTAGTAGAGCTCATTTAAGGAAGGGACAAAGATGAGAGCTTTGGAGACTTAAAGGCTCTGTTCGAAAAGTGCGTTCCAGCAGGGCAGGGAGGCTCTCCTTTGCTGCTGCCCTGCCTGTGAGGGGACCTTGCTGTGGCACACAGCTGTCACCCCAGACCCATCCAGAGAGGAGGGATCTCTGCAGGGGACCCTTGTCCTCTAGGGAGCCTGTGAGAAGCCACTGAGGCTCCCAGGGTATTTCATGTAGAGATGACCATGAGTCTTGGGCAGTATGGGTTTGGGTTTGGATTGTGTTGAAGCCAACTGCAGTGTGGCATGGGGTGTCCCATTTTCATGGACAGTGCCTGCTTGCCACTCGCGGTTTGGACAGAAGAGCTCAGAGCCAAAATTTGTGTGGGACTGACACGTGCACCTGAGCGAAAAAAAAACCACACTGCTTCTGTCATTGACTTTTCAGTCTATGTCAGATCATGCAATGTCTCAGACTGGGACCCGGACTCTCCTGATAACTGCAGTGCCAAAGGTCCGGTCTTGTTTTCACTAGACAGCCATGGAAAATCTCACTGGTGACTTCAGTGCATTTCCGTATTGTAGTTTATACTGGGACAAGCTACTATCTAAATTAAAATAAACGAAATTCCAGTAAATTGCGATTTCAGATCAAGCGAATGGCTGTTTTACTGCAACTTTAATAAAAATCAACTGCTACTTGAATAGGTGCATGCACACAAACTGCTAGAAATTTCCAATTATGATATTCCCAGCAGCAAACAAAAACAAGATTAATGACAGCTGCATCCCCCAAAGCCTAAACTACACCACTAATGAACTCCCAAGTACTCTCAAAGAAAACTCTCTTTGCAGAGACAATAAGGTGGAAATTACTGTAATAATCTCAATGTAAAAATACAGAGGGAAAAAAATCATTGAAATTCAGGGTAAGACTTGCCTCTCCTGATCCCATTAACCATGTTGTTAGCACAGCATATGCATGCATAGTGATATTGTCACATAACTGACTGCCACCTTCAAAAGAGCACACAGGAATTTGTGTTCTTTCATTTGTATTTCAAATAAAGGTAGGGGTTGCACGGAGGCTTGCACCTTATACCAAGGAAGTCTATACTTAACATGATTCCAGCAGGGACCAGTTACCTCATAACAATTTGTTTGTCTGTCTAGCAGAAGTGTGCAGTTGCATGCAATTTTTGAAGCTTTACTCAAACATAATCTTCTCGACATGGGTCTGTGGCTTTAATCGTTAAAATGGTTGTCTTTCTTCTGTCAGAAATAAGATGGAATAACAGAATACCACAGCCATCTTTACATGTTTATAGAACTACTTGTTATATTTAGGGTTTTTTTGGGTAATTTTCAAATGATTAACACATTCTTCACTTCTGGTTTTAAGATGGTGTTATAATGCCAAATTTAAAGTTGCCAGACTTCACCCAAAGCAGATTTGTCAGTTGTCAGCAGGATCATCTTTGCAACATGCAACATCTGCAAATTTTACTAGGAACAGCTGTAAAGCACCTTCTAGAAAAAAAAAAAAAAAAGTATCTTACATATTAGATTATTGCTGTTCATTTTTAATATGTACTTCAGTGATATTTCCCTCCCTCACTGCTCATGCCCTCATAATTAAATTCCTTAATATTGTCTGTTTGTTCAATAATTATGTTGTTATTTGCTGAGCAAACAATGTCTGCAAAAGCGGACACAGCCAGTATGTATTGTGTGTTAGACTGTCCTGGTAAGGTTTGTTTACACTTATCCTTGTTAGCAGCACTGGAGCTGCACTATCTTCTGGAGGTATAAGTTCATATATTCCCTTTAATACTCAGTGCCCAGGCCTGCTGAGTCAAATGCAAAACTTCAAAGAACTATGGACAAAGTCTTGAGTGTTCAGATACTATGTGTAAGTGCAGTATAAATATCAGCCAAATTATCTCTGATTCTTTTGAAAATGCTCATGATTTCTTCTGCTTTTAAGTATTGGTCTGTTGTAGAGAGGAATCCTTTTTTCTTTTAGTTTTAATGGAAAAACAGGTGTGGTACCTACTCTTGAGGTCTCCTCTTTAGGAGTTGAGGTGATGAGTACTCCGGGTTTTGGCGGATAATATCTTAGGGCCTTTGTGGCCGTTTATTGTCAGCTGTGTAAAGTGAACAGGTTAAGTCAGTACAAGCCTTTATATGGCATCTGGGATTTCCTGAGTGTCACAAACAATTTCCTCCACTCCAAAAGCATGAAGAAGCTTGGTTTTGCTCCTGTTGCTGATGTAATCATCAAGAAGTCCCGTAGCAGATGCAGAATATCCGCAGCACACCAAACCAATGATTCTGGCTCTTATTTACATTCAGACCACTCTCTTCCACTCTGGCAGAGGAAGGGGGCCCTAAAGCAGATGTTCAATGCATATTCAAGGCATGTTATATGGGCAAAGTTACATAAAGGAGCACATCTGTAAGACTTGTCATACATGTTGATGCATATAAGATGCTCAGATGCTGATGAGGGTGCTCTCCCAAGGGTACCCTGACCAGGAGTTACACCCTGAAGTTAATTACCATCCATGAGCAAAGGCTGGACATGATGGGACTCAGAGACCACCAGCTACCTGGGGACCTTCTGCTCGGCTCCCCATTTCTGAGGGGACAGAATATTTTTGAGGATGTCCCAGTGGGATGAGTTACTTTTCCATGTTTCTCACAGAAGCAGTGATTCCTGGTCCCTTTTGCCTGGACTTTTGGCCAGAGCTGCACTCTGACCTAAACCTGGTGCTCTGTTTTTCTAGGCAAGCATGAAGTGCCATGATTGAGGCTTTGGATCTATGCAGAGTGGATCACTGATGCACTCACTGACTTAGCAGTGCTGGTCAACTTTCCTGAAACTGTGGCCAGGGCTGGGTAACAACTGACCTCCCCCATATAGCCCGAACATCCCAGTCACCTTGGTTCATGTAGCAGAAGGAACAAATAATGAAGGTATATCCAGATCCTTGTCTTTGCAGAGTAAATGTTAGTAGACTTCAGACTGCTGTAACAAGCTAATGTGAATATATAGGCATACTGGTTGAGCTGTAGAACGTACGAGTGCATGGCTCTTTACCCGTTTCCTCTCTGTTGTCAGGTTTTCAAAACCCTCAGTGCCTTTTGAAAGAAAAGCAGTGAAGGTGATGATTCAGTTTAATACTGCTCCTGCAGTGGCACTTGCTATTATCTAAATGAAGCAAGCCCAAGGAATATTGGTCTTCCAACGTACTTTGCAATCAGAAGCCAAGCTCAGGTCTAGAGAAAAATATCTTTCTGGTGGAGCAGCTCGGAATGTTTTGATGAGAAATGAAAATTACTTTCTTGTGGAATACTCAATTCCCTGTGCCTGCGTTTTTCACGTCACTTCTTAGTGTAATTCAGTTTTAGTGAAATCCAGGGGATTCCTTTCTAAGTGCTTGATTCACCCTGATTCCTGCAGGTGACAAATGCTAGATCTGCCTGCATTGAATACAAGAGAAAGGTAGATTTAGTTTGACACAGTTCAACTAAGTTGTTTGTGGAATTTGTCTCCCTGTTTATCTTAATGAAGTCTAATCTTTTCCCCTTCTAGGATTTCTTCCGATGCATTTTTCCATCCCCCAAGTCTCTCTGAAGCCAACAAGACTGGGGTTATGAAGTCAGTCCTAGATGGCCTCGCAGATACAACTTTCCGAACAATCACTACAGATCTCCTTTACGTGGGCTCCAACGATATCCAGTACGAAGACATGAAAGGCGACATGGCGTCCAAGCTGGGATACTACCCCCAGAAGTTCCCTCTCTCTTCCTTCAGGGGTGATCCTTTCCAAGAAAAAATGACTGCGGGAGATGATCCCCTGTTGAGCATTATTCCCTCAGATCAGGTCAACATCACAGAGTTTTACAACAAGTCCCTGTCCACATTTAAGGATAATGAGGAGAACATACAGTGTGGGGAGAACTTCATGGATATGGAGTGCTTTATGATCCTAAACCCCAGCCAGCAGCTGGCCATTGCTGTGCTGTCGCTCACCCTGGGCACCTTCACGGTCCTAGAGAACCTCCTCGTCCTGTGCGTCATCCTCCACTCTCGAAGCCTCCGGTGTAGACCCTCCTACCATTTCATCGGCAGCCTGGCTGTGGCTGACCTCCTGGGCAGCGTGATTTTTGTCTACAGTTTTGTGGATTTCCATGTTTTCCACCGGAAGGACAGCCCCAACGTCTTCTTGTTCAAACTGGGTGGAGTTACAGCCTCCTTCACCGCCTCTGTAGGTAGCCTTTTCCTCACGGCAATAGACCGGTACATATCTATACACAGGCCACTTGCTTACAAAAGGATTGTTACCCGACCAAAGGCTGTCGTAGCATTTTGTGTGATGTGGACCATTGCTATTGTAATAGCCGTTCTTCCTCTGCTCGGCTGGAACTGCAAAAAGCTCAATTCCGTTTGTTCAGACATATTCCCTCTCATTGATGAGACATACCTGATGTTCTGGATCGGGGTCACCAGCGTCCTCTTGCTGTTCATTGTCTATGCCTACATGTACATACTGTGGAAGGCTCACAGCCACGCTGTTCGCATGATTCAGCGGGGCACGCAGAAAAGCATAATCATTCAGTCTACGGAGGATGGTAAGGTACAGATCACTAGGCCTGATCAAACTCGTATGGACATCAGGTTAGCCAAAACCTTGGTCCTTATCCTAGTCGTTTTAATCATATGCTGGGGCCCACTCCTCGCCATCATGGTGTACGATGTCTTTGGGAAAATGAACAAGCTCATCAAGACTGTCTTTGCCTTCTGTAGCATGCTCTGTTTGCTGAATTCAACAGTGAATCCCATCATCTACGCTCTGAGGAGCAAGGACTTACGACATGCCTTCCGCAGCATGTTCCCCACCTGCGAAGGAACTGCACAGCCCCTCGATAACAGCATGGAGTCTGACTGCCAGCACAAACATGCCAACAACGCAGGGAACGTGCACAGGGCTGCCGAGAGCTGCATTAAGAGCACAGTTAAGATTGCCAAAGTTACAATGTCTGTCTCCACAGACACGACTGCTGAAGCGTTGTAAGTCAGAGACTTCTCAGCATTGTCAGAAAAGGAGTTAGTTTAAAAAAAAAAAAATCAACAACAGAGAAAACCAAACCCGTGGCTTAACGTGTTTGTACCCTCCTGTAATATTTTTTTGGTTTGTCATTGTAAACTGAGCGATGATTGTGTTAAGAGCATCACCATCAGCCAGTTCTTCAGGTTTTACAATTAGGGATTTAAGCTAAATTTTCCAAAATTTTTTTGTCAGAAAGTGTTTACTGAATAATAACTTTCCTGAAAGAGCACAGAGAAAATAACAGGTTAGCAACGGTTTCTTTTGGGGGTGTGAAGAAAAATTGTGAAACCTAATTGAAAACTAATGCATCCTAAACCAATATAATCAGATAAGAAAAAAAGCCTTGTAATCATACTGTTCATTTCAATGTGAAGTGTATTTCATGTCTGTAAGTATTAGGAGTTTTTCATTCTTTCCAAAAGCGGCAGTGCTGAGTTTTAGAGATTTTGTAAAACGTGTCGTGTCCCGTGAATTGTATGCTGTTTTATTATGTGTTATTGATATTTGTCTGATTAAACAAAGTGATAAGGTAGACTTCTGTGGAAATAATGTGAAACGTGATATGTAAACCCCATTGAAAACACTTAACTGTATTTGAAGAATTCCTATGAGCTATTTTGGAAATTTTACACTTTTAGTGGTCTTCTGTGGACTTAGAGGAGAGGCTTTGTATTCTTCTACTAAAATTATTTCCCCACTACCTTTTACTTTCACGTGCATATGAGAGTAACAGCAACAAAGGAATAGAGGAGGAATGTAAGAGAGGAATGCACTGGTTCAGACTTTTAAATACCACTGCGTTTATACAGAAGGACGTTTATGGTTTTCCAGACTATTGCCCTGCCCTTGGGCGCTGCATGAATACGAACACTGAAAAGCAAAGGTCCCGGATATTGGCTCCTTTTAACAGGCAACTGGTTTTAAGCCACGTGCTGGTGCTGGACCACTGAAGACAGCATGTGTCAGACTCAATGTGCGATGTTATCACTGTGCAGTCAATGTATACTTGAAGTGTGTCGCATTCCTGTATCTCGGGTTTAAGCAGATTCAGAGCCTGAGATGCCGAGCTCCTGTCTTCACTAAAAGAGGAGGAATTATTGTCAGACATTTTCTTATTGTGTGAGCGTGTATATAAATAAATATCTATGTGTGTGTGTGTGTGTGTGTGCGTGTGTGTGTGTGTGTAAGTATACTAATCAGTGTGAGTTATGGTAGCATAACTAAGATAGGACACTATGACCAAATGTAAACTGTATTTCTTGTTGCACGCTTTGCACACGAATTCTGTTTCTAAAATTGAGTTCTTCCAACTGATTACTGATGAAAGTACCGTATTAAGAACATCCCGATCCACTCTGAGAGGTGTTTTCATGTGCTAGAGAAGCAACCTTGCAGTTGTACTTGTGAATAAGAGGAAACGAGGCCGAGCTTGGCATGAGCCTGCACTGACAACTGCAGTGGCTGTCGATGGTGTTCCTGAAAACTGAGAAAGCCAGAAGTAAATGATAAATTGTTTTAAGGTTGTCAGTATTCAAATCTGATTCCTTGAAATGAGGTGAGTCTCACTGTGAAAGCAGGATACAGATGACATGGTTTGACACTATCAGCTTCGAGGAAGAAGTTATTGAAGGAAAATGGTAACTGTTCTGTGGTGTAATTGTTTCTGCAGCCTGGGACTTTCACAAGGAGCATGTTACTGGATAGTCTTTCAGGCGTGGATATTCTGTAATTCCTTGCTGAATTGGAAGGTCTGGGGTCCTATTCTCTGCTGCCTTGGTTTTTTGGACCATTTGCTCACCTCCTAGCAGATTTCTGCCAAAATAGACGCAAAGGCAGCTTAAGCCCCATTAGTTGCCTGATGCTTGCCGCAAGAGGGGTGACTCCCTCCACAGCACCAAGCGAATGGAGCCAAATCCATGCTGCCCTGCTGCCTGTCCTCAGGGTTACACAGGGAGAGAGAGGGGTTCAGCAGCCCTGGGTCTCTGGCTGCCGTGGTGTCCCCATGGTGTTTCTGGTACCTCAGGACAGGCCAGAGCAGCTGGTAGCGCAAAGGGCCCAGCCAATATCGGCCAGTGGTGCTGCGGAGGCATAAGTGGCTCCAAGTTCAGGCCTGGTAAGGGGGGGACAGATTTTAAAGATCTCATCAGGTGAGGTGCTGAGCAGCAGCTGCAAGACACAGGAGTACTTTCCCCCTCCACGCCCCCTCCCCTGCAGCATTACCTGGGCAGTAGGACAGGGCACCACGCTCTCGAGGGGGGTTAATGGCAGTCAGCTGAAACTGGCAGATTGCAGAAGATTCCTGGAGGATGTGCAAGTCCTCCTGAAAGATCTTTCTCATATCTAGGTCTAGTCCATCCTAAAGTTGTCCCCTTGGAGGAGGCAGGGAAATTCAATTTGAAATGTAAAGGTATTTTAAGAGCCATTTTTGAAACTGTCTTCTTGTGAATTAAATGCAGACTTTGTGGACTTTTGTTGTGCATTCGAGTTAAATTTTACATGATAAATCATGGGACAATGGGGCTGTCTTGGCACTTAACTTGGTGCTTACTGATATAATAAGAAATAGCATCCTGTGAAATGTTACTGTCTATCATCAGTATCTTCATTTGCATAATGAGTTTTTCTAAAGCTCTGGGAACTGTGTCGGTTCACTTAGAACCATTTATTAAAGAGGTGGCAACAATTTCCCTACACATTGTGCACTAAGTAGAACTTATCTTTCATTAGAAAAATCTGCTGCCATTCCAAGATAAACTGTACTTAAACTTCAGCTTTAGGCATTCCTAATTTGCAGTTGCCTACCTTCACTTAGTGATAGCACAGCCAAACAGTACTGTGTTCTACCGTCACCCACACCATCGTCATCAACTAACCAACGATAGTTGCAGTTATGTATATGTACCAACTCCCAAGTGTAGTGTATCTCCCGAGAAAATCATCTGTGTCACATGCGTGCAGAGTTAATATTCTCAACAGTCTAATTGTATATTTGTATAATATAATTTCCTCGATGCTGTGCAGTCACTATCCACATCTTCTTGCACTGGCCTTTCGATGAAAATTTTAGTGTGTCTATTGTGAGATAGACAACGCATTTTACCTGCTGTTATCGGGCTGAATGTATGTAAATAAGTGAAAAATAAAAAAGTCATCTGTACAAGCAGTGGCCTAAAAAGTCTGTAATTGTAGACTAGGATAATTGTTGAAGTTGCTGTGACATCTCAAATACTACCTTTGAATAAACTGTTTACAGGGTCTCTTGGGATGCTGTTTCATAGTGGAAGGAAAATCTTTCCTTGTGATAATATGAGGTAAAGAAATTGGATTACCTGAGCTTTTTATTTCCAGTGTTTCAAAGTGGAGAACATAACTCTTTATTGTCTGTAAATCTAACATTATTACTTCCTCTTAGAAGAATATTGTATCATTAGATGTTTGTTTCAGCTGGTAACATCCTTGCAACTGCTGCAATATTTTTCATTAGCAACCTGTATGATAGTTTGTACACAAGTACTGTTCAGATTGTCATGAAAAGTAGCTTTGACCATTTACCTACCAGTAGCAGAATAGTATTTCTGTAAGATTTCCAGTGTATTCCTACCATATCATATTTTATTTCTATAATGTAATTAAACTGTTATTTATTCAAGGAGAAAAAGTATTCCTCTACTTTTTTGTTTTCTAAATTTTGAGATAACTGAGGAAGCCACGTGATGATGCTGCCTCATCCCACAATCTGGTGCTCTACGTTTTGTTTACAAGTTTGTCTGTCAGATTCTGAAACAACTGCTTAAACAACTTGACAACAGGTTGTCAAGCTTTGTGGGTTTTAATTGTACGTTGATATGTTTGAAGGAGAGGAGGTAGATTATATGTTTTATATTTGTGTATTCAGTACTATGGAGACAAGAGAGAAATTACATAGTTAAAGCTGAATCTCCTGTTTCATTATGTAGGCAATTTCCCCTTTCCTCTGTATTAGCCAAAACGCAATAAATCTCTTTTGCCTTCCTCAGATGCATATGTTTGCACAGAGATGTCACATTAAGACAAACCCATATACTTCAGAAAAACAAAACACAAAACTGCAGAAGAAAGAAATACAAACTAAAATAATGCTGCTAGCAGAAATGATGACCTAAATAGTTATTGGCGGTTTGTAAATGTAATCAAAGACCTGAGACAAACAAAAAGTTAGTCTAGATTTGGCCAGTGCCAGTGGAGGGCAGAGTTATGGGTGTCAGAGGGGAATGATGAAGTGGTCCAACAGGGATGCACAAAAGTTGCTCAGGGAAAGTAAGCTCAGCCATGCTGCTGCCTGTGGGGCACACTAAAGTGCTCCCATCGCTGCTGCTCGTCCACAGCTGAAAGGAAGGGTTTAAAAAACACAATACAATATGTGGTCCCACACGCCCAATGCAAAGCCCACTAAATGCTGTAGAAAGGTCCCTGCCTGTTTCAAAGGATCAGTTTTCCATATGACTTAATCTCAGATTCATGTTACTTGGGCAATTTTCCTTCTCCTCTGAAAGCAGTCGAAGTCCTTAGGGGATGAGTTGAGCATGTCCTCAGCCTTTGGATCATGGTTTTACCACAATAGTTGTATTTTTAAAAATTAGGTCACTGTAGAATTGAGAATGTCTTGACAAAACAAAAGCAACTAGAAATGAAATATTAACTCTTAATCTTTAACTGCATACTACATTTAAATGAAGAAGTCTGACTATTTCTGCTGAGAGCTGTCACTACCAAAGCAGCCAGGAGACAATTCCCACTGTATTTGCATGCTCACTAGAAAATAAGGGCTATACTGCCACAAACTGACAGTTCCTTTTGATGGTAACACCTGACTGCATTTGTAAGTCTATTCTAAACAACACAAGAGGAAATAATGACAACATTCCAAGCAACTGCTTTCCCACACTGTACCAGCTCAGGAAACGTGCGGGCAAATATACTGTCATCCTTTCAGCCTTTCACATTAACATCAATTATTTCCTCTCTTTTGACAGTTATTTTAAGAAGTCACAATATCATCATGCATGCACATCATCAATAAAAAATCTGCACTTTGTTATTTTTTTTTTAAAAAAGTGTTGTCTTCAGTGATAGTCCAGCATTGGCTTGATTTAACAATTATAACATCTGGGAACATATTATAAAAGAAAAGAATAATTTTGCTTGTGTTTAAGAAAGCATAGGGTGTGGGGGGTGTTATTTGACAGTTTAGAATACATGTCTTCCCTCCATTCTGCCTTTGTCCATTAGTCTTTTTAAGATATAAAGAGTTTTCTTTAAATAGCAGCACAAGATATGAAGCACATGATTGCCTGTAACAAGCCTCCTTAATATGAATGGTCATCTAATACTAATCTTTAAAATTCAGTTAGGACAAAAAATTCTAATAAGCCCAAGGTAATCTTTATGACTAGGTATGACATGCCGTGGTATTGCTTTCCAGTAAATCATCTTTGGTATTCAGAGCAGCACTCAGTTTAATGTTAAAGTGTATTAAGGTATGGAATCCTGTCTCACTAAAGCCATTAAGAATTTTTTATTGACTTCAGCAGAAATTATATCTTGCCCCAGATTTTCAAACTATGAATCTGCATTTGGAAAGTGCAATTTTATATTCCATCATATTTGCATTTTCACTGTCATTAAAACAAAGAAGAGTCAGACTAAATAGCAGCCTCTCTATTCATTGGGGTTTTCTTACCTCCAAGATAATCTATTTCAAATTCTGGTGGGTCAATGCAGAATCATAAAGTCTGGCAGGAGTTTGATGGACTTGTCATAGGAGTGAAGCAATTTATGTATCCATATGTGTGCAGATGGGGTAGAGAACATCATGAACAAAACTGCTCTCAGTAATGCTGACAGAGTCACTTCCTGACCGCTTGCACTGATGCTGTTCTGACGCTGCTTTCTTTCCTTCTCTCCATCTATATGCATATATGTGTGTGCATGGTGAAAACAGGCCATATTCAAACTCTTTCCCCAAAATAAAGAAGAACCTCTACATGTAGTAGTAGTAGTAGTAGTCATAATAGTAAACAACTTCACAGCCACTGATTTCACAAAGGGGAAACCACTTCTGCCATTTATAGCCATAACAGCATGGACCCAGCCCTGCTATTGCTTTTTTTCCCCCC